GGAATATCATGGACGAGGAAAGGCTACGTTAACTACATGTTTCTATCTAATCAGTAAGGAAAGATTAAAGGCAGTTATGCGTATTTTTTTTATCCGATGCAGTGAACTCGGTGGGACATTTGAGCCCTACACCGCAACGTTGCTGGGTGAGAAACGCGCTTGAAAATCTCGCCAAATATGACTCCCAGCGTTTTGTAAAATCTGACCCGTTACAGTTATTGAATAAGTTCTCGCTTAAGGTTAAAGCGAATCGCGGGTTATTTATTCCTTTTTTAAAAACAGCCTTTTCCATGATTTGCTATCTTACCCATTTCACATCAGATGATGTAGTGACAAGAGGCTTAAACTACAACTACTCATTTAAACTGTTAGTTTCTATTTGCCCAGAAAGGGCAAAAGAAAAATTAAGTCATTGTAAAGCTATGAGGAACCTTTTGCTTTAAAAAGTGCTTTCTTTTTTAGCGTGGTGGTGAGCAATAAACTCCCTAAGTTGAAGTTTGTGCCGCCCGATAAGGTATAATTTTTGATGGTCTCGATCCTTAAATAAGGTATCATTTTTTGCCCTCCTTGGCATTGTGTTCCCAGAAGCCAAATTGCATCAGCAACATTCTGATGCGTAAATACCCACCTGCGCGAGAAACAAATCATCTGTTTGTATAATGAAAGAGATTTAATTAAATTTGCATCCTTTGCTTTTCCCTTAAATGGGGAGTCTTTCTCGGGTGTCATTTTTCCTTTATCTCATCCTTGAATAGGTTCTGGGCTTAAGACCCTGGGCGACAGACACCTATCCCAAATTTATGGGAGTAACTGCCCGGGAGCAACAACAACGCCAACTTTTATTGACCCCTTATACTTAAGAAAAATTAAATTTACATGAAATAAAATTAAAGTTAAAAAGGGTGTTGGCTTCCTAAAATAACTAGAGTTAACAAGTCTAGGAAGCCAAATTACATAGAGTAAATTACAATTATATTAGGGTCGGAATGACGCACACACACACCCAAATACAACACAAACATGCACTCATATCTTTAGAACTAATAAAAGAAATAAATCAAACAAATTTTTCAAGCCAGGGGGAGAAAAACAAATATACTAGGAATGAAATCCTGAATACAATAAACGAAAAATCAAACCTAACGCAGCATTCAAATGAATCATAGAAAAAGCTGGGAAGAAACTCGTTACTCTAGGGAAATCAGAAACCAAAGTGACATTAATATTGGCACGGCAGTTCTTTTTTTTTATTATTTATTTTTTAATTTACTAAAAGGGGTTGACTTTATATCTTTTCTAAAGGAGTTCCACACCTTTGTTCCTTGAAAGCGAATATTGAATATTCCATAGTTTTTTCTAGCTCAAGGCAGGTAACAAGATTGATTTGCTGCACTTCGTGTATTGTAGTTATATGAATATTAAGCACTGAATTAAAGAAGGTATCAAAATTGGAATATTCAATGTGAAATGCAACATGCAATAGTGCAATATGAAATAACAAGACCAGAGAACTTCATAATTGCTAAGAATCTCATTCCACATGACAGGTTCTCCACCCAACGACGATCAATACCAAAAGACGATAAGAACTTTACCACATGAAAACTAACTACAAAATCATTTTCAGAAACACTGGTCTTAAATTACATCACTGATTGTCCCAGTGACTGTGTAGCACGATACCTTAAAGTTTGGTTAACCTATCCAGCGAGGGGAATTTAGTGCTACTGAAAAGAGAAATGATTGTCTCAATAATAAGACTTGCCATCAGTTCCATGTGTTTCGTTACCTGCTGGTTGTTAGCTTATCTGGATTATGCATCAAAAACAGTCGTCATTGGAAAAATCTCTTCGTGTCTTGTCTGATATTCTCTTATCACATATCCCCGAAAAAGGCATGGTAATGCGTCTCAATGTTTGATTATTCTTTTAGTTCAGTATCATACAACATTGTACCTTCCTCAACTTCCAACAGATGAACCAGTTCTATCTTCTTCAGTGCTTCTTGGAAGTCTTTCACTGCCGAAGCTTGAATGGTTCTCTTCCACTCATAAAGCATCTCCTTTCCTTTATTGTGTTCAAGTTTATTCGTCGTAGTAATTAATATTTTCCAATTTTTGCTCAGGAATTCTAAGCAATGAACCGAGCTTTCTCCAATTTTACCCGAGAGCTTGTGATAGTTTAGTGAGTTGGTAGAAGTGTAAAACTGGTTTTGTCCGGGTGATAGGTTCCTCCTCCTTAACCTTGGCTGTAACAACAACATAGGAACGCATAACGTGCTTGAACCCTTTTAAATGTGAATCAAGTTTTTCCCCAGTTCTGGACTGGTTGATTGTTTGAGATTATCTAGAAATTGGGTATTGCTGTTCATAAGAAGGCGAGAGTGACAAAATGACGGCTGGAAATACGAAAGTTGCTAGAAGTCACTTTACAGGTAACTCTTATTGACCATTGCCTAACTGGAAAACTTTGCGGTTATTTCAGACACTAGGATTTTCCTTCCTCGCAACGCATATTTTGTATACCTGGTTATGTAACTTATTACTGAATTTTGTATCGGACTATATGTTGAAGTTGCCTTATTTGTTTGTTGGGTAATCTTAAGAAGAATAATTACTGGTTGCCTGTGAACGCCCAGTACGTACGTAATTTAGAATCCTCCTTCTTTCGATCAGCTCCGTCAAAAAATGACACAACTGAGTCATTACATTATTACATGTAATCGCTTTGCTTGCCTTTTCTAAAGGGCGAATTACGATAGGCTCTTCTCTGCCTTTTTCTGCAAGTCATAAACCAGCGAAGATGTAGGCCCGCAACGTCCCCCAACCACAAAAACGACCGTAAAATTTTGAGCTCTTGAACAATACTGCCAAATAAAAGTGAATTTTTTCCTGTCCAAAGATTGACAAAGAGGTTGGGATAAAAATTGTTCATACATCCCCTTTCTCTTCCCTTTGATTGGGTCAAAAGTGATAGATATTCATATCAGTCATTTAACAGCTATGTCTCCTTCTTTTGACCTAGACATTTAAAAATTAAAAGGAAAACGTCTTATCTCCCCTTGAAAAGGCTATAATTTTCAGCGGTTGACACGGCTTCTGATCCGTGATCCTTGAACTTGGGGAATCGGCATGGTCTCCTCTTCTTTACCTAACGAAGATGCAAGGACACAATTTGTGACTTCCTTTTCAAACATAATAGATACCATATCTCGACATATCAGTTTGTCATTCGCTTTGCTGGCCTTTTGTAAGAGACTAAATCCAATACAAACCTCCACGGGGTTACGGAAGACTTTGCAGACCAGGTAGTGAATAACCATTAGCACTACAGGAAAGAGGGCCGCAAAATTAGCTGACTTGCCAAGTTTGAAAGTGGTGTGCAAAAAAGCAGGCGAAGCTATAGCACTACAAGGTTGCAAAATATTACTGTAACAGCAAAATCCTCCTCATTTTAGTCCCTCCTTGGTCGAGAAAATGACTTAACTGAGTAATAATGTAATCACTTTGATAGCCTGTTGTAAAGGACGAATTATGAGAGACCCTGTCCCGGTTTTGTTTTCTTTTTAACTCTCGTTGTTTGCAGTCAGCAAATATCAATCGGCACTTTAGAAACATTCGAGGATACAGCCCCGTTAAGTCTCCCCACGATATAAACGACTGTAAAATCATTTCAGACTTCGGGAAATGTTTGTGACTTTACTACTCTGTTTTTGTAACAAGTTTCTTAGAGTGATAGACATGAGAGAAAGATCTTCATTGGAATTTTTAGGTCAATGTTCCTTTTTTTTTTGCGTTTTTTTTGCTACATTGCTTGACTGAATCGTGCCCATTCGGGTATAGTTAGAACGATCTCTTCGCTCCTAGATGTCAAAGTTCTCTATGATCGTTAAAATTGATGACGTCACAAGTGGCGCAAAAGAAAAGGATCCACAAGGACGGTTATGAGCGGTTCAGGTGTGTGAGCCAAAACTGTCGTTTTAACAAGGTTCGAGGTTACAAGTGTTTTCTCTGAGGCCACATTCTTACTACTAATCATTATCCAATATCTTACCATCACCTGAGTGTACTTCAAAAAATATTTGTATGATAAGTAGTCTTCCGCTGAAATAATGGCTCTCAGTTTTACCTCCTTGAGGTTAAGCTTTTCGAGAACCTCTGTCGTTACAAGCGTAGCTTGAACTACCCTATTAAGATGGCCTGTCCGAACTAGGTGACCTATTAGCTTTAAGATCTTCAATGGAGATCAAAAGGTCCATAAACTGTTGTTCAAGTTTTGTGTCCTTTTGATCTTGTTTAATTTGCATCTTTTCCATCTTCTCATTTATCTTGTAGAGCTCATATCCATTAAGTACCACAATCGAAGTTCAACAAGACATTCTTTTGCATCTGGTGTTAGTGGATCACACGAAAGGTTTTCGATGGACTTCTTCCACTCATCTCTCTTTGCACTACTTATTTGGCCAGCAATTCTCAGTAGGGCCTCACTGATTTCCATCCAAAACTTCTCAAAATCAACATTTGTTACCTCCATGTTGTGGTTGTGATGATAAATGTTGTTACGGTAAAATTTAATTCTTACCATATCTGCCTCAAGACTGTGANGATCCACAAGGACGGTTATGAGCGGTTCAGGTGTGTGAGCCAAAACTGTCGTTTTAACAAGGTTCGAGGTTACAAGTGTTTTCTCTGAGGCCACATTCTTACTACTAATCATTATCCAATATCTTACCATCACCTGAGTGTACTTCAAAAAATATTTGTATGATAAGTAGTCTTCCGCTGAAATAATGGCTCTCAGTTTTACCTCCTTGAGGTTAAGCTTTTCGAGAACCTCTGTCGTTACAAGCGTAGCTTGAACTACCCTATTAAGATGGCCTGTCCGAACTAGGTGACCTATTAGCTTTAAGATCTTCAATGGAGATCAAAAGGTCCATAAACTGTTGTTCAAGTTTTGTGTCCTTTTGATCTTGTTTAATTTGCATCTTTTCCATCTTCTCATTTATCTTGTAGAGCTCATATCCATTAAGTACCACAATCGAAGTTCAACAAGACATTCTTTTGCATCTGGTGTTAGTGGATCACACGAAAGGTTTTCGATGGACTTCTTCCACTCATCTCTCTTTGCACTACTTATTTGGCCAGCAATTCTCAGTAGGGCCTCACTGATTTCCATCCAAAACTTCTCAAAATCAACATTTGTTACCTCCATGTTGTGGTTGTGATGATAAATGTTGTTACGGTAAAATTTAATTCTTACCATATCTGCCTCAAGACTGTGATCAGTGCTCTTAGGTAAGTTGTCCCATCCAGTAGCAGGAGCAGTGACGCTGCATATTTCTCGAAGCAATTTACAAAGTAAGCTGATATCAAAATCGGTCGATTTTCCATACGTCCCTGTCCCACTTGGGTTGTAAAGGCTTTCCCATTCGGGGTGGGTTAGGACTCCGTTTGTTCTAAGAGTTTGGAGTTGCGTCCTTATTACAGGGTTGCTAAGCACAGCTGGAAGGTTGGGTGGGGAATGGATACTGTCAAACGTCTCCTTTAAAAGTGCGCGCATCAGAAGCCGTGTCAGTCCCTGAAAATTTGCCTTTTCATCTGTTGATGGGGGATCCACCCGCCCTCATTGCCAGCATTTTTAGGCCTGATACAAATTTAATATTATTCATTACAACATTCATATCACAAATTCAGCAATAAGGTATTCTAACCCTTTTAGTTAGGGGAGAGGGGAATCAGTGTTTTTTTGTTTTTGTTTTTTTGCATGTGCAGTCTTCCTAGATTTTAAAACAGGAAGACTGGGGATAGTAAAAAGAGTGATTAATAAGGTTGGCAAAAGGCCGAAAGGAATAATCTGAGCAGATTCATGGCTCTTTTGCTGCCCAAAAATGGCTGCATTTCAGGCTTAAACTGTAATACGGTTTCAATAGTGTAGGTACGGTTTTGAAATCCTCTTGATCAAAAATATCCTGCACATGCCGCCTCTCCTTCAGAATGACAAGGCAGAAATGTGACACAAATGAATATATTATGATTGACTAAAAACGTTTAGTTTATGTAGTCAGTTGATAAAAGTAGATTTTAATTTAAGGGCATGGTGTGGAGAAATCATTCTTATTCCCGCTCCCCATCCAGGTGTATTTTGTCGAAGTGACTAGAAAAAAGCGAATGCCATTAATCTCAGGGATTTAGTCAGGGATTTAATACCTAAACAAAAAAGGATGATCACCAAAAGCCAATGTGGGGTTATTAGAAAAGTTATGGTGGTGGTGGGGGAAGGGGGAACAAAGTACCAAAAAATATTAAAGCACGAGAAGATTGAGTGAAAACATTCGTACACGCTGAGTAGTCCAGAAAATGAATTCTTGTATTGCCAGAATTATTTTTAACGTCAATAATCGAGATTGAATTTCTAATTCATTTCGTTCTGTCTAACGTTTGTGCAAGCATGTGGTGCAGTTAATTTGTGGCCTCAGACGATGAATCAAGGGCATGGCTCCCTTAGAGTCATGTGCGATTGAGACTTGCGATTGTAGTTCAGCTCAGTTTTCATAAGAGAGGGGGTGCCCATGTCCCCCGTCTGAATTTCACAGCCTGCTATGTCGCAATTTCGGAACATTGTCGTGTCGCCCGTCGGAATTTCAATAATAATTTTTTAGCTCGTTGCCAGTCTGACAATCGGCATTCGCTGCAACGACGCCAACGGTACATACGGCCTCTATCTTTAGTACTTTTAAGCCCAGGGTTTTAAGACCTTTATAAATGTTTGATATTCATTCAGACTACTTGGAATAGTAATTGAAATCAATAAAATTCCATTTAGTAAATTATACAAGTGTAGAGATACTTTTAAAATGGCTTGGCCTGAATCGAGGCCTAATCTGGCAAAACACACGAGCTATCATAACGTTTCTAAAATTCTAGTAGTGCAAGAGTCTAATGTTTCTTCCGAGTTAAACCCGGGAGTTAAACTCTGATTTAGTTGTCAGACTGTATAACAACCCGGGAGGAAGGACATTATCAACCACTCATCATCTGTAAGGCATGCGTTTACAAGAAGTCTGTGAAAAATGAACTAAAGGTCCAGACGATCTGGGCGGATGACAGTTCTCCCGGATGTTATGCGAAGTGGCATTCCTCCAAAGGCGACGTCTGCTGGGTTTTCATCATCATCAGAGTCGAGGTCGCTGTCCTGTTCACCGCCTTCTTTGTCTGGCAAAAGGTCTTCCACGTCATTTTGGTATCGAAGAAATGTCCGGGGGTGGGGGGTTACTGTCATATATGGGCTATATAGGTATGTGCCGCTGTGAAGGATATGGTTTTCAAGCAGTTTACTCTTCTAGAATAGGGTATCATTTTTCAGGAAACTGATCAGTTGGTTAGAGATTTTATCTAGACTAGGGAAGCAGCTACTCTAGGATGGGTGGGGGGGGGGGGGG